GATTTTCCTGGTCATAAAACTTCCTCTCCCCGAATTTCCCCTATCCACATTCCTTTCTTCCGGAAAAATCAAAAGAACAAAGAAAAAAGGGTATTCATAGGAAAGATCTCGGCATCTTATGTATGGGAACAACTAGCAAAGGGACATGGGCGGGAGGTGAGGGGGCGGGATGTGGTACCTTCGAAAGCCCAATACCGAGGGATTTGATTACTCACATCCATCCCTAATTGGTATCGGATCAACATCTGGACTGTCGCTCCGGCCCCTGCCACGCGCTCTCATAACCATCCCAAATATTGGTATTGAAGGAACGAAGAGAGGAGACGAGTGGATTGTACGAATGTTTGGCTTGTTGTGGCTTTCTTTCATAACCTAGGCTTTTTGTTGTCGTAAACTTCCCTAGCGAGGGATTGCTTTTGGAGGTCCATCTGTTTGACGGTCACATCAGCTCCGGTGGCTAAGTTCTTAGCCAGCATTCACCGAGCCTTGAGGCCCCCTGTCCAACCTTCGTGATCTTTGCATAGATCTGGTTCGGATCGAGTGGCGAGGGTACCGTCATGGGCTTCGCCATGGTTTGCTGTTCAATGAGAGGCCAAGTATAGATCTCTTCGTAGCTCGACTTCATCATTCTTGTCCAATTCGGTTTTCCTAGTTCGGGGGAGGTGCGTAAATTTTAAAAATTTTGACGTGGTTGTGGACAGAACTGTGATGTACACCCTCAACGGCCGGGAGAAAACCTCTCGGCCGTTGAGAGTGCACACTCTCATTGGCCGAGAGAAACACTCTTGGCCGTCGAGAGTGTACACCCTCATCGGCCGAGAGTGTTTCTCTCGGCCACTGAGAGTGTACACTCTCAACGGCCAAGAGTGTTTCTCTCGGCCAACGAGAGTGTACACTCTCAACGGCCGAGAGGTTTTCTCCCGGCCGTTGAGGGTGTACATCACAGTTCTGTCCACAACCACGTCAAAATTTTTAAAATTCACCCCCTCCCCCAAAAATTCAAAAACACCACACCTCATCGACAGAACTTCACTCACCCTCCCCATGCCGCCAGGCGATCCCCCCCCACTCCCCCCTCCTGACCCCCAAACAGGTAATTTATCGATCCGAGCGCTGACGGACTCGATCCATAATCAACGGGACGCGTCCATGGACGTGAACATGGAGACCTCTATGGAGGAAAGTCCCGCCCTTGCAACCGGCCGCCATCACCATGCAGCACCGCCTCCGGAGGAATTCCCGCTGCTCAACTTTTACAAAGCACTCCGAGCCGACCCCAGCAGGCAAAGCGCAACAGGTACCTTGAATCTCGACGCGACGACGGAGTCCTTGCTTCTCCAGCTAATCGAAAGCGAAGCCAGACGAAGCCATGACCTTAAGCTGTTCACCGAAGAACTCCGAGAAGTCCGCTCGCGCGTCACGACCATTGAAGCAGGCCAACTGACACGCAAGCCACCATCACCCAGTAAGACCTACGCGTCGACTGCCGCCAAGTTGCAAAACCCCCCTCAACCCCCCTCAAAATCTGAAATGGTGGCCGCACGTCCGGGCCTGACCATCATTCATTCCAGGACTGGAACCAAGCCCTTAAAGGAGGTCGACGCCGAAATAGTGGTCCGGAAGACCAACGAGGTTTTGGAAAAGCTGAACGCCACCGTCCAAGGAGAGAAGGTGACCGTCAAAGCGGTTTGTTTCTTGCCATCAGGTGACGTGTCCTTCTACTCCAAAAATCGACAGCAGAAGGAATGGTTGAATCGCAACAAACATGAATGGAGTAAACAGGTCCACCCAGACCTCGAGGCCACCCCCAGCACGTACTCAATCCTAGCTCACGGCATACCGCGCACATTCAATGTAGACGCGGTGACAAGCAAAATCACCATCGCTGCCGAAAACCAGTTCATCTCGGAAAAAATCTTCAGGATGCGTTGGCTAGGAGGCTCCAGAGACCCCAATGACCCCCGCCAGGCTGGTACAGTGGTAATAGCTCTCACTGAACCCGCCTTAGCTGACCAACTCGTTAAGCAGCGCGGCCTCTTCCTGAACGGCAGCTACCACAGGGTCGAAAGATTCAAGAAACTCCCCCCGCAGTGCTTTAAATGTCTGCAGATGGGTCATTTTGGGAAGTGGTGCCGGGCCGACCCCAAGTGTGGCAAATGTGTAAACAAGCACGAAACCCGGGACTGCACTGACACAACAGCTCCGCTAGGTAAACTCTGCGTGATTTGTAAGGACAACGGTAAAGACAAGGAGGTTTGGTCATCACACACACCATTCGACAAGGCGTGCGGGATCAAACGGGCTTGGCTCATCTCTAAAAATCACATCCGTCATGAATAATTTAGACCCTATACTAACCCCTAGTGTTTCTAATACCCAAGTTGTAGATAGCCCGTCTGTAGTTTCAAGCAATGAAAACTTTTTGCCCTCCATTATTGTGCAGTTGAACTGCCATAATAGTCGAGCGACCACGTATAGTATTCTCAACTCGGAGCCGGACTCTGTTTTTTCTCTTATCTTACAGGAACCTTGGATAAATCCGCTGACACTTCTTCCACCTGACCATGAAGCCTGGTGGGTTTTTTACAGCCCGGACCATCAACCAACGGAACTAAAGGACAAACACCGGGTGGTTTCTTATGTCCGAAAATCACTGGCCTCCCAAAATATCAAGGTTTTGGAAGGCAACAGTAAGTTTTTTATAGGCCTGGAATTGACACTACTGACCGGGACTCGATTGCGAGTCCTTAATGCTTACAACCCACCAGGAACAACGGCAGGCCTCGATAAGCTACGGGATTGGATGAATGCGGTGAATGATCGTCGGACCGCAACAATCATCGGGATGGACTCCAATCTCCATCACCGCAACTGGAATCCCCCGGGTTACTCTCATGCTCACAAGGAAGCAAAGTCTCTCATCTCTTTGTGTGGCAAACATGGATTCAGATTGGCCTCTGAAAGAGATACACCAACTTTTGTTTCTAGCAGGGGCTCCAGGACAACAGTGGATCTCACCTGGGCCAATTTCCTCACTTCTCGGATGATACACAGTACAGCTACTGTATCGGACAACCACGGGTCAGATCACCAGAAGCTCACCACCAGGCTGCGGCATTCTCCCCCGCAACCTGAATACCGCATAAAGGTCCCTCAAATGGCAGCCCTGGATCAGGCCAAGCTCCAAAGGACAGTGGATCAAGGGCTCCAGCAGCTAAGTGTAGCATCCCCCAACCTTGAGATAGATGATGTAGAGACTAAAATCACGTCCAGCATACTTACAGCCTGGCAGGCCCAAGGAAAACGAACCCGGGTTGATCACCAAAAGGTCAAAAAATGGTGGGACAACGACGTACTGGGTCCACTTGTGAAGGCAAGAAACAAGTGCCGACGTCTCCTGTTAATGTCCCCCACTCAGGCCAACACGGAACGCTTCAAGTATTGGAACGATTGCTTCCAAGAAGCGGTCAACAGGCTAAAACAACAGCATTGGCGAAGTTTTTTGGCTTCGACAGACGCGACAACCGTTTTTCAGGCCTTCCAGTTCA